CTGATTTTGTCAGGAGGCCTATCGAAAGCGCTATATCTTGAAAGTTTCCACTTTACAGGATGACCTTTTGAGGTTACATCCCAGCCTGCCTTGTCGTCCAGTTTGGTCACGTTGGCAACTAAACGCCGCAGCTCAATTTTAATGTCCGGCAGTCGGCTTCCCACGCATCCCATGACTCAGGCAGCCGGCCATTTGTCACGTGGCCCATGTGCTCCGGCCAAACAGGTGGCTCTTTCTGTTGCCGGCGCCGAGATTGCCCATCCCACCGCCATGACCCACGAGCTGGGCCCCTCCAGCCTGCCGGAGCTGGCCAGCACCATTCTGCCGCCCTGGGCCCTGCTCAAATGGCTGGCCTGGTGTCGGCCAGTCTCCGACGGGAAATTTCCCAACTGGCCGGCCGTCGGCAAATCCCCAGACGTCCCGGCCGCCGGGTCACATCTCGTCTCGCCCAGTCCCACTCCAGCCACAGGCCAGGCGGACTCGAGTTCACACTCCATTCACGCCGCCACGTCGTCTCCTTCGGCTGCCTCGTCTGCCTCTGCTCTCTCGCTCTACTCCATTCTGCTGGCGGCTGAACAGTTGATCCGATCTGACCACCTGAAACGAGACAAGCCGGCCGATCGAGAGACTCCCTTGGACCTCAGCCTCACCGATCCGGATCCGTTGGTGCCGCCCGGCCGAGTGGAGCCGGGACTACGATCGGACGCAAAGATGGCGCCGAAAGAGGCGTCTGGAGCGGAAGAAAGCTCACCGATTGCCATTCCCAGTCGAGATTGCTTCAGTCAACCTCTGCCGGACGACTCGGTCCATTCAGTCAATCTGGCCTTTAGCTCGAGCCCATCGCCGACGCCAAAAGAGGCGACTGGCCGAGGCCCGCGACTCAGCTCATGTGGGACGTCTGCCCTCAAAGAAGCCGACACTTTGACCGGACTTCAAATGGCCCAGACGGCGGCATCTACGTCCGACGACAGTCCGTTCGGCTCGTCTGTCGCCAGACCCGAAGCTCAGATGTTGATGCGTCGCATCGTAACCGAGCAATGTGCTCCTTCAGGCCAGTCTGGTCTACTCTTCCCGGTGGGCACCGGTGGTCCGGGCAAACAGCCGGTGACACGTTGTTTCCAGTGCAAATGTCTTCTGGCCTCTCTGCCCGAGCTGAATGCCCACTTCGTGCGCGAGCATGCCTCCGCTTTGCGACGGGAATTCGAGCAGGCACGCTCGTGGAAGTCCCACGCCGTAGAAGACATGTGCATTCAGGTGAGTCGCCATTACCTCGGGCCATGAACATGCACGCAAAATAGCCATGATTCGCTTGCGACTCATAGTGACTGGACTCTTATTCAAGTATCATTTAGCCTTTGCTTATCACTGAGCACGGACATAGAGTCGACAATTCGGAAGCTAATGTAAAAAATAAAACCTATTACTACTACTACTACTACTACTACTACTACTACTACTACTACTACTACTACTACTACTACTACTAC